AATAAATTATATAAATTTAATGAAAAATCATTCCGTTTTACGCTGGCGTCAAAGAAAAATAATGCCACCAACAAATGATCTCAACCCCGATTGTTAGACTCTATTTTTTTTTTATAGAATAAGGGTGACAAACGAGCACACAGTCCATCTGATGGTAAGTGGTTGCTGCGGCCCATAAACATCTACATCTATCCTCTATTACAAAACAAAATGTAGATGCGTTGTCACCCGTGAGGACTAAGATGGAATGCCTCATTTCCAGTAAAAAGGGCCTCCGGCCACCTGCACTTACCAAGCGAAACGCAGAGGTAAACCTATACTTCACGCTGGTTTTCTGTGAGGTCATGGTACCACCCCGGTTCGAGCCGGCCCATCCGTGCGGCAGCAAAAGCTGCCGCGTGGCTCTACCACTGTAAAAAAAACAACACTAACAATTCTATACAAGAAGGTCTTTTTCCCCCTTTATCTTTATAAATAAAAAATAAGTGCTTGCACTTTGGACAATGCACGTTAATAAATACCTCGACCGCTATACTCACTACAGTTAAAGGTTATCTAAAAAGTTTCCGCTGTATCTTATAACTTGAGCATAGTAAAGCGATGAATGTTTCCCTCTGTTTCCTGAACGCTTCTTCCTGGAGACGTCACAGCCCGTTGTTTGACACGTGATGTCGCTTCCAGCAGTGTAACCAGAATGGACTGCGTCGAAGACTTCGTATCTGATTTCATACTGACCGAAATCTAGTTTAATTGTTGAACGCATAATGACCAGTCTGAGAGTTTTATAAATCTAAAAACAATGTAAAAATTGCTTTTCATTTCAAGTAGTGTAATAAATGTCAATCAATATTAAAAATTATTAATATCTTACGTACGTGTACTGTTTTACTTGTTATTTTCAGGTACTGTTTCTTGTGTTGGCAATCCAAAAAAAAATATAAAAACAAATTAAAGTATTACTATTTTTTTTTAAAGTAATCGTGTAGATAACGTAAATATTTTGATATTATTATTAAACTATGATTCCAATTATATTAAGTCTAATTTAATTTTAATTTTTAGAGTTTAGTGCCATCTGCAGGCTTACTCTCGAAAGCAATTCCGATCGATCGGGATTGGAATTGTGACGTTTCGTACTCTTGAAAGCGACTCTAGCGCCAAATTAGTTCAATATTATGTTGTCATTTTCTGAACTAATTAAAATTGGAATTGAAATATCTATTCCAATAGTAACCATAATCGGCACTCTTGACGCAGTTTAGACAGTTATTTGACAGCTGCGTATTGTGTTTGGAATCTGAATTTAGACAATAGCAAGAGAGTAACGTTGTAGCAATTGTGTTGATATTAATCATTTGTTTTCTGCAATTATATTATTTTTTCAACATAATAATGGCACGTTTAGCTCTTCCGGTCATTATTCTTCGACGTAACCGTGCATTACAATTAAAACAAAGACGAAATGAACGACGAATGATGCGATATATGGACAAAGCCTTTTCTATGAGTGATGATGAGTTGAGAGCTAATTACCGTGTGGATAAGGACTTTATTGAAGAAATAATTAATGAATTAAAGCCGTATATGCAATGTCCAAAGAGAAGAAGTGATATATCACCTAAATATAAAGTAAGTACTTTAACTCTTTTGCTTATTCTTTTATAGGTGCCTATAGAACAAAAAAATATATAGCTAATTAACTGCGTTTGCAGATTTTGGTAGCTTTGTACTTCTATGCTACTGGAAGTTACCAAAGATTAGTAGGTGGCACATATGGCACATTGATGTCTCAGCAGTCTGCGTCTCGTGCCATCAGAGAAGTGACTGATGCTCTTAATAATCATAATATCCTTGGTAAATGGATAAGATTTCCGCAAACACGTCAAGAAAGGGATGCTATAAAACGAAGGTACAATTACTTGCGTGTACTTATTTTAAAATATTTGTTTTGTATGTTTGTTAAGTGCTTCAAATATGTTTCAGATTTTATGAAAAATTTAATATACCTGCTGTTTTGGGTTGTATTGATGGTACACACATAAGTATTGTTAGACCCACAGAAAATGAAGAGAGGTTTTTCAACAGAAAGCATTTTCATTCAAGAAATGTTTTAATTGTAAGAATTTGAAAATATTTTATAATAATATTTTGTGATGAAAATATATTTAATTATTAAATTAATTTCCAGGTATGTGATGCTGATTTAAATATACTGTCAGTAGATGCTTCTTTTGGTGGAGCCTCTCATGATAGTTTTATATGGAACCAGCATCCAGTTAAAAACCATATGATTTCGTTGATTAGCTCAGGAGAAAATGTGTATTTATTAGGTGAGCGTAATAAAAGCAAAGAACATCATGAGTTATGTTTAAACCATATCATACTATACATTGTTTTATTTTTAATTTTAGGTGACTCAGGGTATGCTCAAAGAGAGTATATGATGACTCCCATACTGAATGCCGACATGAACTCTGCTGAAGAATATTACAATAAGTTGCATTGCTCAGCACGTAACACTGTAGAACGTACAATAGGTAGGTTAAAAAATAGATGGCGATGTTTGCTGGGCCATCGGGTGTTGCATTATCACCCTAACAGAGCAGGAAAAATAACAATTGCTTGTTGTGTCCTACATAATATGTGTAATAAAAGATACGATTTCATGCATGAGGAGTTAGAGGATAATGCAATCCAAACTGATGACTCAGGAAATATCTCCATTCCTGAAGAACGTTTAAATGTCACATCGGCTGCTGAACTAAGGAGAGGAATTGAAAAAAGAACTGCTTTAGTTCAACATCTCTTTGCTGCTAGAATAATGTAATATTAGGTACCTTGTAGTAATGTTTTATCACACTTAATTACTAATTAAGTATAATTAAATGGTTTAACCATTTAATTATACTCTCTCCTTGTCCGAGACATTCTTTACAATATATAGATGTTTGAAGACAGGGTTGCGATTATCAATGAATCAATGAATAGAAAAATTTTGCAATTTTCCTTATTTTATAAAAAAAAAATAAGGTATTATATACACTTATATTACTAGGCTGTAATGATGATGATAATGATGAAGTATTATTCATAATATCTATATTATTGTTTTGTTTTAAAGGTTTTGTATTGTGTTCTACAATTTACAAAATTATAAGCATATTCGTATCCAATAATAATATATGTAATTTCCTCACAATGAAGGATTAACCCATAATTGTTTAAGTTCCAATGGCTTCTTTCCATCCAGTTGAGAAGTGTCACTTTTTATTTCAAAAACCTTTATGCTTTTTAATAATATTATTATTTGCAATATTGTTCACTACCATCAAAGAACAGAAATTTGCAGCTGAATATACCTTCCATATACATTATTATGTACATAATAGTTAAAAACCAACATTTTTAGCCTTATATTACTGATAGCAACCTAAATGGCTTATGCTCAAATATAGAGTAGCTATTCATATCACACAACTCTATTGTACGTTTACCATAGTTATTTTACTATATGAAGGTATAACCTGGTAGGTATGAAACCCTACATAATATATAATAACAGAAAAAAAATAAAGATTTTTTCTATGTCCTTAACACATAACTTATATTTTAACTTGTCATAACCTCTAAATACCTTATAATAGTAAAATTGTTTACTATAATCATTTTGAAATTTCTTTTAATTGTTCAATGTACAATTGTTTTAAGTAGTGAATTTTGTAAGTTTTATATTTTCCCAAATAGATATTTTATGTACTGCTGTAAGCCATTGATGCATTTTGCACCTTATTATTTTATTTAAAACCTAATGATCATAAAGGCTGCTTTCTTTCTTGTAACTAAGGTTATACTAAGCTACATAATACAGCTCGGATGCAACAATGTGCCAAACAGTAGAAATTTACTGCATAGGCTAATTTTTTTGACTTCAATGACTTTCTTTTTTTATAGTTTTATTACATCAATAACAATAATTGAGTGTTTACTTTCTGTTACTGAGTTTTTAATTGTATTTTGTTAATTTCTTAAAATTTACAATAAAACCTGGAAAATTTACAGGCTATCTGTTGTCTTTTTATTACTCTTTTAATAAATTAAGAAAATTATTGTAATTCCATCTGAAGGTGGACAATATTATTTTGTTTTGCAGGTATGCCAAAAGTGGCTTCATAAGCTTGGTATGAAGCCAAATAAATCCCAAGAGGATATAATTAAAGTAATGGCTTATTTTCAAATCTTTCAGATTATTCTAAACAGTTAGATTAAAATGTATAGTCTTTTAAACTATTTAAACCTGTAACCTCTTGATATTCAATATCAAGGTAAAACTGTTCTCATATCAAGTCTTCTTACTTTCATGTCATATTATCTATCTCTCCGTTGCAGCCTATAAAAGTCCACTGCGGAACATAGGCCTGCCTGTGTATATTATGACAAAATTAATATGATTTTTAAAAACATGGTCTTACTTGTTACCTTAATGTAATATGAAAGATTTCTACACCTGTAGATGTGTTATTGAAAAATGTTAGACTAAGTATGTGATTTACAAGAATTAATAGTTTCTTATACCTTAATTTTAATTGTGATTTTGAAATAAAATTGTAGGACTGTTGAACCAATATTTTTATTTAATACCAAAATATTTTAAGAAAATATAATAACATACATAACGTTTTTAAATTTTATATTACTAATTTTACTGGCATATCAATGTTTAACTGCTAGACCTATTAGTTATCTATTTTTACCTGCATTTAAACTTTCCAGTTAGTAAGATTCATAGTTAAATTGCCATATCTTACATGGCGTTATAGAAAATATGTTGATTGTCATACATTACATGGTTATAGACTTACCATACTTAAAATTAAAAATAAACTAAATTACAAATTTAGTGTACATTAAAAATGAAATTAAAAACAAAAAATTAAATAAAATAAACATGAAATCATTCAAATAAAAATTAAGTAAGACCTTTTTTTAATTTTACAGAAATGTTATTCTTGATGTTGTTGTGTTTTGTTTTGATTAAAGACAGCAGATAAACCCTCTAAGGCTCGGGCTATATTTTCCACAGCTACAGCATTACGATCTAATGCTGTAGAAACATTTGAAAATGCTTGTGCAGTTATAGTTTCTGCCCTAACACGTTGCTCCTGAATTTCTATGTTACGAATTAATGCAGCAGAAACATCTGCAAATGCTTGTGCAATTATATTTTCCGCCCTGACACGTTGCTCCTCGATTTGTACCAGTCGTTCCATATCTTGGTTATTTCTTGTGACAGAACGACATTGCTTGACACGTGGCATGGATTTAAGTTTTGATTCTGAAATTAAAATAAAGCATATTTTAAAACATGTCTCAGATATAAATAAATCCATTCCATGACCATAAAATATGGACATTTAATATTGAGATGGAATATTTGGATTAAATGTTTTAAGCATCACAAGAATTTATAAAGGTCTTTCAAACTTAGAAACACTCACCTACTTAAGAAAATGACATGTTTAACAATTTATGTTTAAAGTTGAAAGGTTGTTGACAAAAAATCAGTGGGTGACCCTTTTTAAGTCACTTATAAGTATGATGCATACAGATTGCAAGTCTGTAACTACTTCAAGCTAAAGGGACTAACAAGTCCACTGCTGATCATAGGCTTCCCAAGAAGAATGCCATAAGGCAAGGTTAAATTTCCAAACTTATAATAGAACCTGAATTTTGGTTAATGTAAGTCACATTCTATTACGATAAAAATTGCTTACTTTTATGCGGAGGTGATTGTGGTGTATCTTGGGAGGTGCCAGGAATAGGGGAAGTACAAATTCCTATCACTACTTCTTCATTTTCTGATTGTAAATTTATTTTTTCTGCTGGAGAAGTCAAAGGGTTTGCTTGTATCATTTGATGTTCCTAAAAATTTACAAACATAATATGATTATAAAATCTATCTATAAGGCTACAGAGAGAATACAAATTTTCTTCTTAGACTAAAAGCTAGTATAGTAACTAAGTTTACAACATTTTTTATGAATAATTACCAAGTGGTGAAAAGGATCTACTGCAAGTTGACAGTCTCCAAAAGCAAACTCTTGACCACCCATAACTGCCACCAATCTCTTGTCCAACGCCGATAACATGGGCAGGTCGTAAGGAGAGCCACCACCAGTGCGTCTCATGGATTTACTATGCTGAGCACACAATTTTTTCAAGGCACATTTCTTCTCTGCCCAATACTAAAAACCATGCATAAGTTATTTAAATATAACAATTAAAAAAAGAAGTATTCATATTTTTAAATATATTAATAGACTTACTTTAGCCCAACCTTGGCCATCTTTATTTGCTCCCCCCAATGAATTTAAAGTTGTAGCTACAGATGCCCATTGCCTCTTTACTTCCATTTTTGCTTGATTTGTCCGTAGTAAACCTTTCGCAATTCCAACGTTTTGTTCTAAAAATTCAACTAAAGCTTCAATTTGTGCTAGAGTTGGACGATTAGCCATGTTACTCTGACGACGAACTATTACGAAATAATCAGCACCAAACTTTTTAAGTATTTCAGAAATACTTAAAAACATTTATTTTGAAATTGAGTTATGAACTTATGAAATGTTTTTCAAGTATGTCTAACAAAAAAAGGGTAAAGGCACACACACTTTACAGGCTATAAAAACATTCAAAGTTCGTAAATCAAGCTGTTTTTACAAGAACCGTGTGAAAACATGTTAAGTTTGTCGAAACACACTTTTTTATGTTTTTTTATTACTTAAACGCTAATTTAAGAAAGTTACATAGGATTTATTACAGCTTCACCGGTTTTACGATAAATGAAACATCTTATTGCTGAGAGTAACGCAGCTAACTTCATGTGGTACAAAAACATTTTGGGCGAATAGAAGCGCAATTTAGATTTCAATCCAATATTACCAAAATTGTTTTCGAGAGTACGGTAATCTGTCAAATTTGAAATTACATTGGATTGAAATTGACATTGGATCGAAATTGATATTGGATTCAAGAGTAAGCTTGCAGGCCTCCGTCCAAATTATTAAATTTTCTTTGATAGCGCTGAACACTTTTTTATTCTGATAATTGTGTATGATCCGATGATACGGGTGGAGGAAGAAATTATTATTAATTAATAATAAAAAAATATCGATTCACGATTATTGATGATTACGTATATGAAAAACAAAACATACAGTCGAATTGTCTTTTTTAAGTTCGGCTAAAAACTAAAAAAATGGGTAGAAGCAAAAGAGGAATCCTAATAATTTCCTTTTAATCTTTACCTCATTATCTATATTTGAATGTTTTTAAACATACCGTTATCTTTAAAGCCTATTCCAGCCCATTGGTGAACATAGTCCTCCCCATACATTGCCTCATAGGGGGGATATTTGCCATAATTGCCACGCCTGGCAAGCGGGTTGGCAACCGCAGTTTTTTTATTTTTAGTCGTTATTAGGGCTGCTGACTATCTCCTGACTTGTTACCCTCTTTTGCAAATTCCTCCCGAACAGAAAATCTTTGGGGAGGCCTATGTGCAGCAGTAACAGAAACAGAAACAGAAACTTTTTTATTCAATATAGATTATAAATAATACTTATTGAAAGTCACTCTTTTGTATAATAACCACTGGTTCGAAAAAAAACCTCTGTCCTGGGAATAACCAGCAAGAAACCCAGCGGGACTTTTTTTTAAATGACAGCTTACAATCATGTTTTTTTTTAATAGGATAGGGTGACAAACGAGCTCACAGTCCACCTGATGGTAAGTGGTTGCTGTGGCCCATAGACATCTACATCTATCCTCGTTTGGGAATCAAAATGCGGATGCGTTGTCACCCGTGAGGACTAAGATAGAATGCCTCTTTTCCAGTAAAATGGGTCTCCGGTTCTCTACACTCACCATACGAAACACAGCAGTGTAAGCTGCTATTTGACGCTGGTATTCTGTGACAGCGTGGTCCTTCCCCGGTAGAGCTGACCCATTCGTGCTATAACTATACTACTAATATAGCTGCAGTACGGCTCTACCACGTAAAAAAATCATGTACGTTACACAAATTAACAACACAACAAATTAGAAATAGCTTGGTAGCGATCGCCTTATTTCCAGGGGTTATTATCATCTATAAATTCTTTAATATTATAATAACCCTTTTTATACAAACTTAGTTTAATAAAGTTTTTGAACTTTGAGCAGGTCAAATTTTGTATATTTTCTGGAATTTTGTTGTAAAAGCGTCAAGAATGCCCCAAGAATGAATTACTGACTCGATGGAGTCGAGTAACTAGTACTACTAGCTTGTGTCTGTTCCTAGTATTTACAGAATGAATATCACTTATTTTTGTAAAACTACTTTTATTTTTGTGTACGTACATTACATTTTCATAAATGTATTGAGAGGCCAAAGTTAATATATTAATTTCCTTAAATTTTTGTCGCAGCGACTCTTTAGGCCTTAAATCATAAATTGCTCTTGTGGCCCTCTTCTGTAAAACAAATATAATTTCAGTGTCAGCTGCGTATCCCAATAGCAAAATAACGTACGACATTATGCTATGGAAATAGCTAAAGTAAACTAGTCTAGCTGTTTCAACACTAGTTAGACTAGACTAGTGGTCTTTAATAGGCTGTAATGGATGGATAGATGGGTTGATTTACAAAATGCTTTAGTCAAAAACATCGTGATAGAAACCTGCATGCGTGAGAGAACTAAAATTTAATAAATACTTAGGACTTGCGAACTATTCCCTGTCCCAAAATTCCTCAGTAACGAGAACAGGTATGTGCCCAGCCATGGGATGTATATAAACTTTTAGTTACTTTACTGCTATTGCTCAAACACAATGCAAGTTAAAAGTATTAATATATCAATTACAATTGTTAATTGAAAGAATTGTAATAAAAAGTTTTTAAATAAAGACTTGCACCTGATGGCTATTGTAGGAAATAGGCTTTCAAAAAGCCTTCACAACAAAAATTGGGAATCGCAGCGGACCCCTCGTGCATTTCAAACTCGCTCCAAACTTTGCCACGGTAAATCATCACCCTTCTAGGGTACTGTACCCATTTGCGAAATGGCCGGTCGCCTATTAAATGTCGATTTTTCACATTCGTTTTCCCCTTGCAGAGGGAAACAGTTGATTTTTAAGGGCGTTTCCTTACGTCGAGGGCTGGTTTGATTCTCTAGGATCTTATTCAATTTTTTTTGGCAGTGACCTTTCAATACGGTAATAACTTTGGCGAATAAAAGTATTATTATAACAAGTATGTCGAGATCGAACCATATGGTTGCTTTAGCAAGAAATTCTTGTGCGAGTTTCTGTTCTGTTATTTAAAAAAAATTAAACAGTAAAATATTAAAATAGTTTATACTTGCGATTACTTTTTCTTCGATGTATTATATAGTAGGTGAGGATAATATGGTCATCCGGTTAATATCGTCAGTTTCTTATAACTCAAAAACTACAGCTTTATTTGCATAGATGGCTCTGTGTTACGATAGCTCTTCATCAGTCAATTAAATAATGCCATTTTGACAGTTTTTTTTTGATTCCGCCTGTTGCACCGCCCCCGAGCGGTTGTGTACAGGTAGTTCGCGTGCCTAGCGTCCCAACGCTAGTGCCCCCCGCTCCGCGCCTCGCGCTTTTCAGATAGTGGGCGCCTAGCGCTGAAGTCCGGTAAGTGTTTTCCTGCTAACTTTCAGTTCTCACCCCCCCGCTCTCGGTCGGGGAGGTTGGCTGACCGCTTGTTTATATTGTAGAACACTAGATACTAGTGTATAAGTTTATTAGTATATTTTATTACATATCTGTTTATTATATTCCGTGTATCTGTTTCTTGTAAAACGTTACTTGCTCTTTTCAGAGCAAGTCCCTGTTCTTTTGAGAACAGGGGTCTGTTTCTTGGATTAAGAGCGTCCCGTTCTTTTCAGAACGGTGATCCCTGATCCCCCAAGCCATACGATAGTTCTAATTTTAGTTTATTTTTAGTTTTGTTGTAGAATCGGTTAAAATGTCCTCGCAGAATTTTAAAGGTTACGTGCGCGATGCATACCATAGGTTCCAAAATGACCCGCAAGCTCTTGCAGCAGCCATCTCAGCCCTTCTGGCTCCTCCCGCCGTTCAGGCACCGCCGCCCGTTATTGCGGACTACCTCGCGTCTCGAAACTCTTTCGCGCCGCTAGAAATCGACATGGAGTGCTCTCACTCCGACACCGCGTCGTCAATATCTGCCTCCCGGAAGAGGCCTGCTAAAAAGTCTAGCACCAGGACATCGGAGTCCTCTGACTCCGATGATACCGGTGACTCTAACAACTCTAACACGTCTTACACCACGGTGTCGTCAAAGCGCGCAGCGAAGCGCGCCGCGAAAAACCGTTCGCCCCCCGCCGAAGCGGCCCGTGCCGCTCCCCCCACCCCCGCAGCCCCCGCCGCTGCCGCGTCTACCTCCGCAGCCCCCGCCGCTGCCTCGACCCCCTTAGATATTGCAGCGCCGTCGAAGCCGGCTTCATGTTGCGCTCCGCAACTCGCGAAAAAACCAGTTCCGCCCCCTGTCTTTTTGAGAGACAAGGCCGAGTTCACTAGACTGAGTAAGGTATGCTACGACTCTGGAATTAAATATGACATAGCTACGAACATGGGCGTAGCGATAAAAATAGTTCCCCAATCTATTGACGATTTTCGCCGACTCACTAGGCTTTTTACTAACGAACGAGTATCGTATCATACATACGCTCTTCCGGAAGAGCGTTAAGTTAAGGCCGTCATCCGAGGCGTCCCGTTCGAACTCTCCAACGAGGAGATTCTTGATGACCTTAAGTCACAAGGATTCCCCGTCGAAGCTGTTCATAAAATGCACAGTAGGACCGGGCTGAGATACCCGATAGTCTTAGCCATCCTAACCAACGTTCCGGAGGCGCAAACCATCTTCCGGCAAGTACGCACGGTGTGCGGCTTGTCGGGAGTTAGGGTTGAGTCACCGCATAGGCGCGGTTTCCCGGCGCAGTGCCACCGCTGCCAACTATATGGTCACGCGGCGGCCAATTGCTCCGCCCCACCCAGGTGCGTTAAGTGCCTAGATCCACACATCACCAAAGAGTGTCCTCGGCCTAAAGATGCCGTATCCCCGCCCGCGTGCGTCCTGTGTCAACAGACAGGTCACCCGGCGAGCTACAGAGGATGCCCGTGCGCTCCTCGTCCGCGCATAGCAAGACAGGCACCACCGCCGGTAAATGACCGTTCATTCCCGACCTTATATGTTAGGAAGCCCCGTCAGGGCGCATCTCAGCCGTCTCAGGGCTTTGCACGACCCCCTCAGGGTCCCCCGAGACCACCGCAGGCACCGCTTAGGCCACCACCGGGCTTCTCAAAGCCTATGCAGGCTCCAGTTTTTGCCTGGGGCCCCAAAAAGGTAGATCCACCGCCACAGGTATTTTCTGCTCCGCAGCAGAAACAGTCGACAATTGGCGATGACTTTAACACGGTTTACGCCGCGATAAGGAACATCGACATTAACGAAATCTCGGTTTTAGCGAGTAAACTGCGCGCCGCCCGGTCCCCTCAGGACC